CACTTATTCTTCGTGTTTGTATCACTTCGAATAAAAGCATTTCGAACATTGAAATCATTTATTCTCAGGAAATGGGAAATACACCAAGGATAGGCGTATAATTAAAATACGTTGGATACTAAAAAGAAAAATTCAAAAATGAAATACCTATTGAAATATAATCTTCATTTCGGGTCATACACTGTGAGGCATAACTATAAAACCACCCTAAAATTTTCAATCGTTATGTATTCTGGTCAAGATAAAAACGAAGCACTTTTTTCCTAGGGAATATAATCTACCCTTCTCTGGGGGAACATTATTTCTAAACACGATTTCAGACATGGCATACTGGGTTCGCTTTTACTTTAACGACAATACATAAAAATTGCAAATTTTACGGTGGTTTTATAGTTATGCCACGCAGTGTATAGACCCGAGGAAAACAGTGAGGGTAATTTAATCGAACTTTCGAAGATTCAGAAAAGAGTTTAACGATTGCTTTATAACTTTCTTTCAAGGAACTTGATGGTAGTTCTTAATTTATTCATCCTAGTGTTCGTTTCGTGATTCAATACATCTACAAGGAATGCAGGCAGTATAGATAAAAATATTTTGTTTCATGTTTGTTTTTATGTTACCCTATCGGAGGGTAATTTACGTATGTTTGGTAATCATTATTTTCAATTCAATTGATGTCTCAACAACGGACGCAATTCTTCGATAGAGAAAATATAAATGTGAAGAAGGTGATGGAACAGTGTTTCGTCCCGATTCGATGACTACGGTAAACGGATTAGAGATCGTCGTCGGAGTCTTGGAACCGTTCGTACTTCGTCACCGATCGCTGGAAGGTCTCGTAATCCCTCTTTTCGTCGTCCTGCGTCAGTGATTTTCCCCTTTCGAGGGATAGGTATATCAGTAATGGACAGTAGGCGACGTTCATCAAACCCACGATACCCATAACCCATTGAAACCCAATCGCCTTCACCATTTCACCGCCCAGAATTGGCCCTGGAAGAAACAGTCGTCTGATAATCAATTTCACTTTTCATGTAATAGTTTCTTCTGGTTTTTCTTTATAGTTGGCTTGGCAGAAATTTTCATATGCTTTTAAAAGCTTATCGATAAACTAAGACATTATTGTGCTTCGTTTCTTTCACTTGCTGGAATTCAAGTGTTGAGCATTGTTAACAATATAATGAGAATTTACAAAACTCTAATTTCTTTCAACCTATTTCAAGAGGTGCCACTGATCCAATCTAAGAAAAATATTAATTATTATACATAACTGTGATAGAAGTAAAAAAAGATGCCAAATGGCAACGAACGAAAAATGGTACCAAACGCTTCCAATTGTCAAATAATTTGATGTTCCTGAAATCCTGAGTAAAAATAACCCAGACATCGTGTGTCGGAGGGTTAAACACATAATTAGATATTTAATCACGAGGTGTCGATATTTCTCGTAGTAATATAGAGAATTTTTAGTGAATATAATGCAATATTGCACGGTACGCCAGATATTATTGAAGAGAGAATACCGTACCAAGGGAGTAAGCCAAACTGACGGCCACTTGTTGAATCGAGTAAACAGGACCGTAATCGCCATTACGGTCCACCAGACTGGCCAGCAGAGGCACCAGAGCAGCGTCCGCCACACCGATGCCCAAGCCCATTCCCAGATGCGGCACAATCAGCTGCGACATCGTGGCCGCCGACGGGATCAAAATGGCGCTTACGCCGACGACGAACATTGCCACAACGGCGACTTTACTGCGCCCGTAACGATACGCAATCATACCGAAGAAATTGGTCCCGATCAGATACCCGACGCTGTCCGGAATGAACACCGTTCCCAGCTGCCATTTCTAAGCGAGACAACATTTTTCCAATATTCAGGAATCGTCGACTAATAGACCGTGAATGTTTATGCAAATTGACAATTCTAGATATGAACTTATGAATATGGAAATGAGATAAAAATTTATTTCCTGTAGCAGATGTCTTATTGTATACTGTATATTGACCGATACTAGATGACTTGATGTATACTGGAACAGTACGTTCCGAGGAAACTGGGTACCTTTGGCTTGATGCGAGTTCGCAGCCAGATTGGTAAGCACGGCTCCAAGATGGCCATCGGCGACGTCGAACACCAGATGGCACCGAATATAATCAGGATGTGCGGATCGGACAGTAAATGTGTCCATGACGTTTCTTGCTCCTTAGACTGAATAATACACGATTCGCGTAAAAATTACATATATTAGGCTATTTTTATTACTTTGTAGTAGCATAAGCATTGTCCATTGAGCTTTAATATCCCCCATACAATATTTAGTTCAGACTTTTAGCCATATCACAATGACTTATCGGATTTACTGCATGTTCGATAAGTGTCCTAATACTCATAGACGGGAGTGTATGTATGTATGTACTTCACATTAATCTGAATTTCAATGTAACACTCACCTGGACGGTTGTCTCGATGTCCAGAGCAAGAACTTGTAAACCTGAAGGGAACACGTGACGATTAAATTATCAGTTCTCTGTGCTGTGACGTTAGAAGATTGAAAATCCAGTGACGTGTCGAATACATCGAACTCGCTGCTTCCTCAATGAAAAAGGAAACGAACGTATATTTATAGTGATTCTTTGGAGGACCCGTACATATGGCGACGACGATCAGACACGAGACCAGCAGGAACGGTGCCATTTTTCCCTCAAGATCGTAGAGCACAGAGCCAATAGGGTAGCCGACCAGGACGCCAAGGGCGATACTTCCGAGAACGAAGCCCATGATCTTCGATCTCTTGTCCTCTTCCGGATATTGGGAGGCGACCAAAGACATCCCTGAGACACCGATACATGCTGAGGATATACCCTGGATGCTTCGGGCTAGGAAGAGGACCTCGTAACTTTGTCCAAACGCGAACACTGAAAACCATTAATGGTGCCATCCGTTTGAGCATTACAGGACTCTATAACAACTTTGATTCTCGAGCTTCTCATCGTGTCCAAAGTCGTTTCGCCGTTATTATCGGTACATTCCGTGACGGAGAATCTGTTGACCTTATAGACAACTTCGATGAAAGGCTAGAGAACAGACTGTGTTAAGTTAAAACCCCTACCCATCGAAGAACCATTGAATGGAATGTACCAAGTTGTAGGGAATGCCGTTTTGGATATGAATTTGACTAACCAATTTTCGTAATTGTTTAGAATGGAACTTGGAGTCGGGGGGTTGCGATGACATTTTCTAAACGTAATCCATAAGAACAGGAGCAAACGTAGGACTTTATTTCTCCTCTTAAGTATCTTATTGGGTTAAGAATAAAATAGAAAACTCGTTGTATCCGCAATCTAAATAGTTTATTTATAATGGATCTCGATTCGGTGATCGCGATTTAATTCCGATTCTAAAGGTCCATTTATTTTCGGAATTTTTGTAATAGATTAGAATTGTTGTACTGTAGAAGATAGAGAGAGAAAGAGAGCTTACACATGGCAGCGAGCAGGAGACTTAAATTTCCAAGGAATAACGGTTTGGTGTATCCCAGGGTGCCGGTTAGAGTGCCCACGGCTGGGTTCAGTATTAATTGTACAAGCGCCTTCGAGCTCAACAATAATCCCACTCGACCGTTTTCGTCGTCCTCGGTGTTTGTCGTCGAGTTGCCGTCAATGGTGCAGAGGTAATCGGGAATAATCGGCACTAGAACGTGTAAATTCCCATGAAGATTCGTGTATACATATGCTCATTGCATCTACTCACGTAGTTTCTTTGTTTGAACATCATTTTTATTAATTCGAACGATTATACCCGATAGTTTTTTCGTTGAATTGAGGTGAAATTATATTACGCAATTGATATAATAGAGCGATAAATTCATACAGAAAAATACCAAATTTATGCAAAATTTAATAGGCAAGAAGATTAAAGACATTCGATTCTTTTTGAACCAGTGATTTTTTACAACTTTTTTATCCAATACTATATTGAAAACTCAATACATTTTCGTCGCGATTCCGACCAATATTAACCTTTTCAAAATAGTTGTATACATCACTTAGTAAACTAATCCATCTAACTCCACAGAAATAACTAAAGTCACTTGGTCCAAATTTAAAAAAGTTGTTCTTGTTTCAAAGGGTCTTCGCATTCGGTTTATTATTCGAAAAAGATTATAGTGTCGCAGCTTCCGATTTACCAACAACGGTGAGCAGGACGTTGTCCAAGAACAGGCTGAGGTAGACCACCGCGACGACGATCGTCCGCGAATTCCTCGGATTCCCGAGCACCATCGTCGTCGTCGTGACGAGTCCTCGATTAAAATCTGCCGGTAAGCACGCGATAGATCAAGGTCGTTTGATCCGTCCAAGGGCATGCCGTCTACCCTCTTGAATATCTTCCTTTATCCCTTTATTTCGTTCGTTTCGTCGATCCTTGTATCGACGTGCGTTAATAACAATTAATCCCTATGTGTCCCTCGAAATTCTCGCAAACCCTCAGTTCCGATACGCAGAAACCAGGAAACTGGATACATGACTGGAACGCGTTCCAGTCCCGTATCGCGCTTTTATAGCGCTCGAAGACACAGTCGCGTCCTTGCGCAGAAGCTTTTTGCTAGATTTCCTCGATGAATACCGCGGTGACGTCGATCGCGGGGCCATCCATGGGGAGGTTGTGTGGGCCCTTTCCACGAGCGAACGCGTTCGCCGATTTATCGCCGTGATGGCCGCCTTATCGTGGCCCAGCAGCTGCCGCTGTGTCCCCCAGCTTTTCATTATTTTTCCACGCGACCTCATGGCGCGGAAGTAAAAAGCCACAATGTGTTCGCAGACTTCACTCACGAAGGCCGACCAGGGGGATTCTTGAAAAGTTTACAGTGAAAAAGACCGTATGTAATCAGACACGCTTTATTTCGTTTTTTTAAGTTATATATCGTCGAAAGTACACTACCGTTTATAAGTATTGGGACATTCGAACTGTATGGCAAGAATTCGAGGTTTCATAAAAATTATATAATTTGGGTCATATTTATTACCTTATATTACTGTTAGTGTTAACCATCGAGTTTTGCAATCCCCGAGACAATATCTATTTCTGAATTTTAACAAACTCTAATGCTTTGTTACATTCACTTTACATTCGATAAGTGTCGATTAAAACGTTTCAAGCGAACTTTCCAGTCTGTTGTCAGTTCTCAGCGTGAACAGGGTGTCCTGGCAACCAGATGAGAGGTCCTCTGACTACGGCCCTGTCATCGATATTCCTCCGGAACGTACACCTGTGCCCTGATTGCGGAATTACGATCGACCCTAATGCAATTTCGGTAGGGGAACACGCGAAATTGGTTCTCCGTTCACGAGTCCCTCCGCTGCAAAAGGGGCCCGGCTTCGTTTTCTACTTTAATTACGACCGATAATGGCGGTCCATTTCGCTGTATCGCGACACGTGGAACTCCGCGGACACGATTTAGCAAACGCTGGGGATATTACTTGAAAAAGAATTTCTTTTTCAACAAAACTTGATGACATTTATATATTACTATACTAAATTTCTGTGAACATCCCCAGTCCACTATTAACTAATAACCATAAAAAATGCACGTGACCTTAAACACTCAATAAAAAGAAGAAAGACTATAGTCATTCAGCATATAGAATAGAAGTCGATAGAATCGACGATATTCTATTTCCCACGAAACGGTAGAAAACGTTATACCCGACACGTGAAGTAAACAGAGAGGGGTTGGATGGGGTGGGGAACTAAATCACTGTGGAGCTCGATCTCGTCGAACGGGGAAAGGATTTATTTAATCGTGAACAGAATTTTCTACGAGGCGCGTGACTACAATATGAACGTCCCTCCCCTCTGAATGGCGGTGTTCCAGGATCTCAGAATCGCGTTATCCTGGTCGGTTCGTCCTCCTCGTCCTCCTCGCGGATCGTCGCCTCCATCTGCGCCATTCTCGGGCTGGACGAACGGATTGGATAGATCTCGTCGTGGTTACGCGGATTAGCCCCGGCCAGGTTGCCCTCGGCGTACACGTCCGTCTCGATGCGGGATTTTTCGTCTTTCGATCTGCGTTTCCGATGGCACTTGGGCCGCGCGTAAGCCGAGTTCACGGTGCTCCTCTCCACTGTGTTGGTCCTTGACTGGAAACGTCGAGTCCTCAGTTCTTAACGTAACGTTCGTATACATACACGCATTTATTTAACACTAGAACTACCAAACACCTCAAAAGGCTTCTAACCAATACGCACTGAAGTGGAAGAGATTATCAATAAACTACCGATGTAGTAGGATGTTAAGTATAACTCAAATGTGTTGCAAACGATGCCTCGTGAGAAAAATATTTTGCCCTACCTTCTCGACTTATTTTTCTCGTGAAACACCGATTAATTACACCTTACTGTAATACTGTCGTTCCTCTCGATAATACGTTGACACGAAAGCGTTCGAAGGGCACATTTCCACATCTACTAGGTGTACAAATTAAGTCATGGCGCCCACAATTAATTGTTGACTCAAAACTGCCATCATTTTTTCGAGAGGGGATTCATCAAAGATTTAGAAAGCGATGAGGAATATTTTCGTATCTAAACTGCATTTTAGTTTGTTTGTAAATAAACAAGAAATCTATGAAAAGAAAGGCACAAATTAATTTGCACACCTAATACAGTCAGGTACTAAATACACTAGTTTGTTAATTTATGTACACTAACGAACACATTAAAACTACGACAAAATGCTGAAAAAGTGCGATTCGGGGGAGGTGGTGGTATGAAAAAAAGAAACGAGAAAAAAAGTCTCACGTCCGCATTCTCGATGCAGACTTGCGGTATCGTGTAAGAGTTATTCACTTCTCGCATCTCCGTGTGGAATCCGTAGTTATTGTATCCGGGATTCCTTCTCGAATCGGGGCTTCTGCAGTGGCTCAGGTACTTCTGATTCGGGCTAGAGCTACCGTAGTAGTTCGGGTACGCTGACGAGGCCACGTGCAGATTCGTCGTGCTCCCTACGCCTGTGTGCACGTAATCGTAAAACGGACGACTCTGCGCAGAAATACGTACATGTTACGGATATTGCCCTGAATCGAATCGAAGGTGAAAATCGACAGGAAAATAGACAAATTTAGAGGGATGATTGAACGATTTCGATATAAAAATCCACTACTGTGTGTTCACTTGAGAGCACAAACGCGGTGATTCTTAAATATAATTAATTACTTTAAAAAGAAAACACACATATTTCACCAGAGAATGAACAATATTAGGTGAATAAACATTTCTAACCAATGGCGCGACAATTGTTTGAATATGAAGCAAAGAATTGAAAATAATCAATATTTAATCATTTGCTTGTTTTAGTAATTTAATTTCCTCGTTTTTATATATAACGCGTATTCACTGGTACCTGCTGATTTACTAATGCATCCACCCCATTTAACTATAAAATATGATCAAGAATTGTGATCAGGAATTCATCTCATCTCTGTTCAGTAAAATGTAATTTCCATAACCAATTTAGGGATCAGAACGACGCCCGTCCGTAACGTCGATAATGTATAGCTTTCAAGTGGAAGCGCAGCCTTAAGTCCAGCTTGGAACCAAAAGCCTTAGAAATGCCACGGTATCTGACCTGTCGCGTAATAGTATTTATCCTCGGATCGGCTGTCAGGTCCATCGATCCGAATCGCTGGCTGAACTCCTTTCCCCTGGCCAGGTGAGTGACCATGTAATATGTCCTCGGTATCAGTACACCGATGATGATCAGGTACGCGGTGCCTATTATACCGAAACACACGACCATGTCCCGGCACTCGGGCTCCACAAGAATGAAACACGTGAGCCATATCGCCCAGGTGATCAGCAGGCCGATGGAGGTCCCGAAGAAACACTTTCCTTCGCGATAATTCCGCGGCAGTTGGGCGATGAAGAAGCACACCACGAACAGCGTCACCAGCAGAAATATATCGTAACCTGGAAAATACGTTTTTATCGCGACAAACGATACCTGTGCTTTTATCGGGTCAAAAATCCCAACAGTGCTTTTATCGAGAAAGCACTGGATCAAGTCGAGGCTTCGTGGGTCCACGTACGATAAACTCCTATTTCTGTGAGTTAGTGAAAACCTTAGGTCACCCGTACAGAGATATTCTTGTACAGTAACCTTACGATTATTGTCACAACTATACCCAGAAGTTACCTTATGGTCATAGGAACAAAGGTTTCTGTATTCTGACAATTTCATATGGACTGAGATCGTATAAAAACAAAAGTGGGTGTATAATTTGTTTTTTTATCTAAATTGCCAACATATTCTTGTTATATATCTGTTAATTAAATTTAGAAACCGAAGCCAGTGGATTTATTTGTTTCATGCAGTAATGCCAAACAATGTAGGCTCCTTTTTTCCACGGGCCCTAGACACCTTATATAAATCAAGGGATTAAGTCACGATATAAAATGGATCCAGAAGAATGTATTCGCTACAAAAAATTCACATCGATCGACTATCATGAAATAAAGATCAAGAGTAGAACCTACCGAGAAGACCGATGAACACGAGGCTTCTGACGATCACAGCCGAATCTTCTCCACCGAGCACGAAGTACATGATCGAAATGGCGATCTGCACGCCGAACATGAAGAACACCATCAGACCCTGCAGGTATCCGTTGATATGGGCGGTGAACACGCCACCTTTCGAGAACACCAGAAAGAACGCCCTGGACAGCATCACCGAGAAATCGACGCCGAACGCGAGCGTTACCACGAGGATTTTCCTCGCGTTCAATGCTTCCGCGCCCACATGTCCGTCGTTCATGCAAAATGGTAGCACGGTCAGCAACGTGAAAACGTCCGCCAGTATCAGGACGATCGTCAACGCGGGATTCCCGTCGAGAACGTCCTCGACGAGGAAACGGTAGATAATAAAGGCGGCAATCACGCCGCAGGCGAACGTGCCGCACACCACCACCGTCAGGAAAATCGGTATCCAGCTGCCCGACTTCAATAAACCTCTGTCGAGTGTATCTGCGGCAGAGTTGAGCAGAATTTTATTCGAATAATACACAGTGAATAGCAACAGTATCTAAGGGTGTCGTTCTGAGTTTTAAACAACTTAATGAGATTAAATAATTGTTCGACAAATGTCGATTCATTCATAAAGAAGTATTATTTTATTGTAAAAAGTGAAATTTCCACGTTTAAACAATTAGAAATGACGAAATACTTTTTTTATCTTTTATTCGTTATTCGAAATTTTTTATCTAGATAATGAGTATGCCCATCTCTGATCTACGGAACAGGGAACATACGCCAGGAACGCTGAGAGGACCGATCGAGCGACCATTTTGTCGGGGGACCTTTTTACGCTCGCGAGGCATACCGGTTTCTCGAGATATACGCGAGCGAGTATACCGGGCGTCTCGGAGAAGTGGATCGCGGATGTTTATGCGTTTATAGCGTTCACTTTAATTTGGAAAATACAATAGAACACAAAAATTTTAATAATTTGTAATAGTATTTGTGGGTTATTGTTAACGTAGTAAAGCAGGGGCTAGTACAAAATTCAAAATTAATTTTTAGATCTCACAAGGAAAGGCACGGAAGTGTCCCCCCTCCGATTTTTATGAAACTTCGTATGTCTATTAAGCAGTGAAAAAGAAGGGATACGTATTTTTTTCATCGGCTTAGACGCGACTTTAAGGGATGAAATCAATCCTCGAAGTTTAAGTATAAAAATACCTTTGGTGACACCACGGGGGCCGAATCTCTTCTTGAAGTTCAAGCAACTCTCGCAGTTCTTCGCGTACTTCTTCAAACAGAGTTTTGGCATCTTTGGCACTCTGGACTCTGGAATGACCCGGAACTTCACGTTCGACGGTTCCACCCTGTGGACAGAGATTGCTCGATAGAACCGTCAAGTTTACCACCAATTAGTGTAAGTGCAATTTCGAAGGGATGGATAATAACAGTTCTATATGATCGTGTATACTGTAAATGCATAAAATCCACAGTCTAATAATAAATAGATTCCATTATTAACACATTAAAACCCTCAACGCAGCAAAAATAATATTCCATTCAACGTTAATTTTCTCATATTACTACCTAAACCTGCGAATTTCCATAACCATCCGCGGTCTAGTAATACGTAACAAGATTTCCACATTCACCACACCAGTTGAAGATTAAAATAAACGACACGGTCGATCTAAGTACCATTTTCTCCCAGAAAATTTCTATATGCAGGCATCGTTACAATCTACTTCCGATAATTAGATTCTAATATTGCCAGTAAGGCATAGAAAGCGCATTCTTCTCGCCTGGCAAACGGTTGCACGAACGATCCCGTGGTTAATCGAGTTAAAGTGAAACACTCTCTCCAGGTGTCTCGACTAAATCCGTACGATCCCTCCTACCTGTACGTAGCGATGTCGACCAGCTCTTGCTGGCTCTTCATCGCGGCGATGTACTTAATTGAGTGCAATTTCGGCAATATCCGTAGAGCGTGGTACACCTCGTTGTTGTTACGGATCTCGTGTCCCGAATTCGGATTGAAACGGGGCATCACGCATTGTTGTTGCTCCATCGCACGAGGACAGTTACGTTTCTGAAGATCCTGAAGCACCTGAGCCACTTCGACGATCGCCTTTCCCACGCCAAGAAGATGGGACGAGTGGATCACGGTTTCGCCAGCTGCCTCGAGGAAATCGTCCGTCGAGGAGATTTCCTGCAGCAGGTTCGAATCGAACGATGGTGTCCTGATCACGTACGATCCCGATGGGATCAGATCTGAAACGGAATTCTGCTTAGAAAACGACATTCAAAAGACAAGAGGAAAGGCTTGTATTGTTCGAACGGAAGGATTACATCCCGAACCTTCGTGAACCCATCGTGTTAAACCGATTTCGGGGGCTCTAGCATATAAATCCAATTACGATAATCCGTTTCACAAACTCGATTATTCGCAATTTCACGCGGGGAATAAAGTGTATTAAAATACGTGCAAGTTAATCGTCGGTGCAACAAGTGTCGAACGTGGTCCGTGGATGATGTCTGAAAATACTTGAAGATTCCAAGAACCTATCATCTAAGTACACAAGGAATGATTGGTGGAATCGTGTCTATTCTACAGGCTATAGTCACTTATTACTCTTACTCTACCTCGCCATGTTTAGGAAACCGATTCTAAGGTACTAAAAGCGTTAATATTTTTCGATCTATACTTGGAAAGGTGTAAGAAAATTTCTAATCAAATTGAAAATATTACCATCGACGTTCGATCCACCGATCGGCAGAACGATCCACGTTTTCTTCGGACCTTGTAGCTTCTCCCCCTTCTCGATCCACTGTCGAATCTCGTTCCTGCCTCCGATGACAGCGACCACCGCCTCTGTATCGTTTTCATCGAGTTCCACGTTACTCGAGTATCTTTTCACGCACAGACCGGCCTCTTTCGTCGTGTCCAGGAACAGATTCAACGGGAAATCCGAGTCGACTAACAGAAGATCGATGGTCTCGAATCTGGTGGTCAAGTAGTGGACCATCAGGTTGATCAACGGCCTCGTTAGATTCTGCTCTTTGTACGTGGTGATCGGCAGAACACTGTAGTTACGAAATGGCTCCAGGATCGCAGCGTATCCCGAGTCCAATAGAATTCCCAGATCGTAATTGTCCACGCAGTCGGTGTCCACCGCCGCTTGCAGGGCTTGTTTGTACACCGTCATCTCGTCGCGGCAGGTGTCGTACACTTTTATGCCTGGATTCAAACGGGATTCATATTCGTTAACACTAAAACTACCAAACCAGTCGTAATGACTGGTCAATACACTCTTACAACGACGATGAAAATGTTATGACAATACATTTTCTCAGATCTTTTGCGTCTTTTATTACTATACGAGGGTGAAAAAATTTCTAAATTTTCAAAAGTTTTTCACGTTTATCCAACGATCGAAGGAAATATGCGTTTATCATCGGTAGTTCTAGTGTTAATTGTATTTTGGTATCTTGTAGAAAAGTTTTTATATAATCAAGAACCAATAATCATTTCAAGACTATTTCAAACATTTTTTAAATTTTACTTTATATATAAACAATGTATTTTCCCGTTAAAAAATGTTCCAACTATTGTTAAAGTAATAAAATAGGCGTCCACTGTAGTGGACAAATGCAGTTATCGGGTTAAGGACGATCTTTCAATATGGAAATTGTATTTTATATGGTATTCGCGAGCTTTCGTCTTCTTTTTTGCTGTTTTTCGTCTGCCTTCAATATTCCCACGAATCGATATCGATAGAAAGTCGTTCAGCTGGTCCGGTGATTTCGTTCAAATGATTATTGCGGAATGTTCGTCTCACCTATCGACAGTTCAGGCACGAACTCGTATTTGTTCAATGCGTGGACCACGTAAAACGCCGTGGAAGCTTCCTGAAGGCCCTTCGTGGACGTGATATTGCAATATGGCCCGTGATTTATGTCCAGGAATACTGTAATCGAACGGTATACCCATAAATGATACCTGAAACGGTGTGATCTCACCGATCGCTGTACTTTCATGAATACAACAATTTATTCACGAAGTACCATTTAGATCGGAGTTCGGTAAATTGGAAATACTCTCTTACAAGACAGAACAGCGTCTCCAGGTATCTCGAACAAGCTCCGATTCTTCGGGCACACGTCCTGATCCTCGAGGGCCATCGTCAACCAAAGAACGTTCAAGTACAATAAAAGCTTCGCCACCATCATTATGTCAATATGCATCGATTACTCATCGATAAATATACACGTGAACGCAAGGAACCAGCTAAACGACATCAAATGAAATGATCAGGAAGTCGACAAACGGTCCCCTCATCACTCTCTTCCTGTTTAATCGATATTCCTTCGGCCCTTGTTTCCACTCGAGTTCTCCTCACTCGATCCCGGAAACGTCGGTCAGGATCGTCGAACACCCCTCGACCATCTGAAAAATCTTATTTTCCACGTTCGATTCGATCACCATGATTTCCACGTTCGTTTTTCCCCCCTCTCCCTCGTTCTCCAAGAGATCGAGAGGCTCGTTGGTCCTTGCCGCCCGAGAAAATGACGTCCAGACACGCGGTCACTTATCGCGATCAGTGTCCAACGGGAGCGCGTGATCCACGGGATTAATACCGATCGGATCCATCAAATCGCGTGATAAGCACCGTTACAGTGGATAACAATAGCCCGTGGACACACGATACCCCTCTCACTGTTTACGGTTATCGCCGGTCGCATTTCACATTTAATAGAACAAGCCCTCGATTCCACCTGGGTTTGTTAGGTTAAAATCTCCTCCACGATTGATCGTTGTGTATGGCCCCTTTAACGTTTCTTTCTAGGACTGATTGAGTCAGACGGAGGGCAGTTTGTTTGGTGGACACCCTTCCTCACGCACTTTCCATGACGATAGAACATTATATCGATTCGGTACCGTTGTCCAGGGGGGTGGGAGGGGGCGGAGCTGGGTTGGAACACCTGGAGGAACTGGCCTTACGCTTCAGGAACTAAATGTATGTACACTGATCTTGTACGTGGGGACCCATATCGAGTCGCATACTTCCTGGCAGTTTCCTGGAGACAAATCTCTGGAGGGAACTCGGTTGATTTAAATACTGAAAGTGGATTGAAGTTTCTTCTCTAAAGACTTTCGAACAACTGGACTTCTATTTCCAATCTGAATTGGTAAATGCTTCCTTGGTGAATTAAAAGTGTTATCTACAGTCTCGGATCTCTTGTGGACCGTGTCTTATTGCCTTCTAGACATCTGATGTTGACACTTTGGAGCCACACTGGTATACACTACCCCTGTAGGCAAGAAATGGTAAGATTCACCGTTCATTTTAATTCATATATACCACCGCCTCGTATTACTTATTGGTACAAGCACACATTCCCCCGTGCATTCACTGGTGAAATCTGTATTGTATCTTCTATATTTAATTAACCACTTTTTTCCAATTTTTCTAATTGAACTCTATAGATTATAAAAAGATAACACTATTATTATTTAAACTTCGGCTCTAATAGTCAAAATGTCTGGTCAATGCACTCTTACAACGACGATTACAATGTTATGACAATACATTTTCTCAGATCTGTTGAACCTTTTATTACGATACGATCCCTGAAATTATTTTTTCTCCACAATTCGACAAGTGTCCCAATATATCTGAAAATATCGAATTCTCAACACTCTCCCGCGCCCACGTACACCTGTGACCACATCAAAGAAATCCTCGATTCGCCCCTCCCCACCTCTGGGGTGTTTCGAATCGTTTTGGGACCAGCAGTTCACCACCGTGCTTCACGCTCGAACTATCTGGCCCCGGTTCGAGGGCACGACTGAACAACGCCGCGTTTTCGGCGTCGCAGCGCGTACGAAAGTTTCATGACCGCGTGTCGAAGGGAAGCAGCAGCTGTCGCGTACTGTGGCACACGACAGTGACCACCGTCACGTGAAGCCGTACTCGAGGTCCTCGCTCGCTCCCACCATTTTATTTCTCTCTTTTTTTTAAACGTATTACACCGTACGATGGCCACGTTTCTGCAGCCATTTAAGCGGCCTGCGCTCGCGCGATCTAATTGACAGCCGGGGCTCTTTTCACGGCTTGGATCGTCGTGCACGCGAGCGCAGTAGAAGGGGAAGGATCGACACGAGGTCCCATCGATCTTGATCGAATGCGACGTTAGACTTATTTCTTTTTTTTTTTTCTTTTCACTCTAATCGGTAGCTAACCCAGTTCGTGGATTTATGTCGCGACGGTCGGTTTCATTGAAATCAATGCTCGCCCCCGTCCCCTTGCGACTGGATGGGGGTTGAGACCTTCGGTCGTCATTTTCGAGAAGGCCAATCGTTTTTGGCAGTCGAGGCGAACTGGAACGGATTTCAGACGGGAATTAAAGTGTTTCGGAGGAACGAATTTTGTGGATAGTGATTACTGCGAGAGTGAGATAGTGGGGAAATTGTCGAGGATTTGTTGACACGCTGCTGGAAATTGTTTATTGCGCGGGAATATCGGTTATCGACGTGTGTGACACAATTTTTGGAGTTATATAATGCCGGTGATTATGAAATATTTTGGAGAAACGCTTTCGTATTGTTGTAATGTAAATCTGTATGACATCGAATAAGTGATGAGTGCAATTTTTTGTAGATTCTTTGATTATACCACTGTCATAATCACCGACACAAATGGTGATTGTCGTGATCGATCGTTTTTATTTATCCATTTTGTATTTTATGAAAATTTCAAGACAGAAGGTATGAACGCAAAAATAAAGTCTATAATTGAAGAGAGTATACGTACAAAGTGATGTGTGTTATACGGAGTGTGCGTACAAATGATAAAGTGTGTATTGTGTTTGTAGTAATACGTTCGAAGGAACATAAAACATTCCATCGGCAAACATGGGTTAAGTGCACTTTACATATTATTATTGGAGGCCTCTTAGACGCATTATTAGCATGAATATGTTAAAGATTTTATGGATGGACTATTATTGTCACGTGGGTAGCTGTATTTAAACACTTTCCTCTTTATCATATTTTCTATGAATAAATAAGTTATGTGTCACAGAAAATGAATAAATTCTTCCGGGAAGATCAACCGTGTTAAAACGATATTTATTAAGCTAATACAATAGAATTCTGTTAATCCGGTACGTTCGGGACTTTAGCGCTAATGGATTATCAAATATACCGGATTATGGGATTATACCTAATATAGATATATTGTTCCGGTTGCCTTAAATATTCTAACTACATAAATATTATGCATTCCTATCCTATAGTAATTGTTGTTGCCTGCTTCAACAGGTTTCTACAGAAACTTCCTGCCCTTGTTAAATTCTTATGATTTTTTCAATGAAAAACAGTTAAATGGGACATGTGCGTTATTTATGAAACCTTTCACTACCTCTATCCCATACTTTTCCCAAAACGTCGGAAAGATACGAGTCCGAACGAGGCAACCCAACATCCTGATAGTGGATTCTTCGCGATAAAAACAAAGCAGTCGATGTAATTGACAGCCAAGGCCCGTTGTCTGCGCGGCGACAAAAAAAAGTAGGTGAACCGGCGGATTACCAGCAGCTTTTAATTATATCAGATTATAAGGAATCGTGATCGAAGGTGACGTGCGGCTCTTCGCGGGCGAAAGAACGACCTAGTTCAGACCTCTCGAACTTCCGCCTCGCACAGTTTATTTAATGAAAGAACACTTTGACCAACAAAACTCTAATTATTACAATTAATACGTTATTACTAAGCTCGCTAGGCACACTTTAACTTCACATTTAAGTTCCCTAAACGTCACCACTAATACCGATCATATCCACTGGTCAAAATATCGACAATTGCATCCGATACCACCTGATAAGTGATATATCTTAATGACTTTCATCCCCTATGATACAATCAAACATAATCGACAGTCCAAATGTAATTAAAAATCGACTTCTAAACTTGTATAGAAAATTTTCGAACACTATTACTACTGTACACGTGATAGATGCTATACACGAGAGTCAAACAGATCCATTATTTCAGGACACCGAGTATCGACTAGACTAGGAGTCGACGTCGTGTAACTACGAGGGAGATCGGTGGGGGCAAGCCTCTCTCTCTCTTCTCTCTCTTGAATTGTTCATTTATTAGCGTAGTCGCGTTTTAAAATCTAGAACAAACTATGAGGATAGGGTGCGCGGGGTCTGGACGTCTATAAATTCGGTCCTAGACTCCAAAACTTGAGATTCATTCCGCGGCGAGCATCAGTCGCGAGGAGGTCGTCCTGGGACGGGCTTCGATCTGACCGGCTGGTTGCGCGGCTAAGGCGCCGATCTATAAAACCTGAGGGCCGGTAGTCTACTCACAGGAAAATACGGCTCCGGCTTTCAATCCTACTTAAAAACGAACCGTTCGAGGTTGTATTAATATCGACAGTTTAATCTGTTAACGTATCACATACTAACAGTATTGGTAAATAGTAAAAGAATAGAAGTTTATCTGAGACATAGTTTTTGACTCGATATTATAAACACGTATATAAGACAGTAATGAAATATGAAAAGTGTTTTATTTTGACACACTTCTTTTGTTAATATTAGTGAGCTCTTAAGGGGTTAATACTTTAATTCCCACCGCTATTGATATTCTGGTAATGATTGCCTTCATCTTCGAAACCCTTGTAAAATTATTAGTTCTTCGATTAACAACAGTCAAATCTGTACAAGGTATTCAAGCAGCGTACGAAATATAGTAAACGCAACGTCATTTATGTGGAAGCTCTTATTTCTCTGGAAACCGAAGGCAAGGCAATATTCGTAAATCGAGTTCCTTCTTTGAAATGCCAGAAGTTGAAAATTCTTAAGGAAAGATCGATCGAGCTACTCCAAGAGTCGGTGCCGTTTGAGGATTTCGTTACATTTTCTTTTTATTTGGAATAGACAGAAGCAACCTAAACATGCGTTAGCCACGCGCAAAACGTTTATTGGAATATACAAATATACATCTAAATTATAATGATATAAAAGTTTGAAATACAATCCGTTTCTTCGTCGTACACTTTGTTCCTTGCTTACACCGATAGATTCTCGAGCCATCTGTTTCTACTTTCTATCTTGCTTACACCGATAGTAAGGGACCGCGTGTGGTGAGATCATGGGGTCATAGAACCCCCGGTGGAGGCGCCAGGGACCCTGTGTGGTGAGAACGTGGGGTCATAGAACCCCGAAACATGCATGGAGGTCAGTGGGCCACGTTAAGCACTCCGTGTTTACTTCATATTTGGACAGGTCTCACGACATTATATGGACAACATTTGTGTTGAACAAGCACTCGACTTGTAGCTGAAAGAACGTAGATTAATCTCCTGCCAGTGGAAGTAACAATAAACGACCAGAACACTGTTAAAATCGCAATTTATTTGCAACGGCTGACACAGTATCTCGTCCTGCGTACCCCGTTTAGTTCACTTTAAATAGATCTTCCAACGTTCTATGGACAAGTTACGTCTTGATCAAGCATTCAGTATGAAGCTAAAAGAACGTAGAATAATCTCCTGTCATTGAAAATAACAATAAACAACCGGAACACTATTAAAATCGCATTTAAACGCGGAATACCACTTTTTTATGACCGGTGGCGCCATCCGTGGCGAATCGCTGAAACTGCTAGCCATATAATTGGCTAGTAGTTCAGCGATTCGCCACGGATGGCGCCACCGGTCAAAAAAGTAGTGGTATTCCGCGATTAAATGCGATTTTAACAGTGTTCTGGTTGTTTATTGTTATTTTCAATGGCAGGAGATTAATCTACGTTCTTTTAGCTTCAAACTGCATGCTTGATCAAGTGATAAGTTGTCCATAGAACGTTGGAAGAGCTATTTAAAGTGAACAAAACGGGGTACGCTTCGCGAGATAGAGTGTCAACCGTTGCAAACAATTGAGATTTTAACAATGTTCTTGTAATTACTGGTTCCCACCTACCAGAGAGTACTAATCTGCGTTCTTTAAACTTCCAATGTAATCCATGACGAGGAAAATTGATGCTCGTTTAGCAGTGTAAATCCGATCGAAACCTGTGGCAAGTACATAACCACTAAACAGGCAACACTTTTCTTCGTCATGCACTACATTCGAAGTTTAAAGAATGTAGATTAGTACCCTATAACAGCTGGTTCGTCTTGGCCAAGCACTCAAGTTGTAGCTGAAAGAACGTAGATTAATCTCCTGTCATTGAAAATAACAATAAACAACCAGAACACTGTTAAAATCGCATTTAATCACGGAATACCACTATTTTTTCGACTGGTGGCGCCACTCGTGGCAATTCGCGCAAACTACTAGCCAAATCATACCGACAGGTGAGTGAAAATTCCTAATGTTGGAAAAGTGCGAATATCTCAGTAAATAGGCGCTTAAAATGAACGCAGTTGGTCTCAAATTACACCTGATGACTCAGTGCATCGACTCAATACCGCAGAACCCCATAATCAGAAGAATCATTTCTGTCAACACTGCATATGTAACATATTATCACTGGTAGAAATAATTCCTCCAATTATGGGGTTCAGTTGCATTTGGACGATGCACTGTATTGTGGGGAACAATTTAAGACTGGCAACATTAACTTTGAGCGCATAATTACTGAGATATTCGCATTTTTCCAACATTAGAAATTTTCACTCACCTGTCGGTATGATTTGGCTAGTAGTTTGCGCGAATTGCCACGAGTGGCGCCACCGGTCGAAAAAATAGTGGTATTCCGCGATTAAATGCGATTTTAACAGTGTTCTGGTCGTTTATTGTTATTGTCAATGACAGGGGATTAATCTACGT